GGTTTTTCTCCAGGAAGAGACCTTAAAAATATAGTCCAACTCCCTTTTTACAAATTTGGACACTGAGCCCAGGACAGTCAAGCGATTTGACAGAGTCATTCCCAGGTGTTGCTGTGGTTTATCCTGTTGCTTCCTTCAGGTCCCTGCTCAGAGCTCACCTCATCACCGACGTCTCCTGGAACCAGCTCATCTAAAATATACCACATCCCATTACTCTCTATATCTTCTCCTTGCATGTTTTTAAAAATAATTATATCACTTATTTCTTTACTGTCTAAGCCCTACCAGAATGAATACCATTCTCATGGAGTATTGTTTACTGCCATATCTCTAGACCTTGCCTCAGAGTAGATGCTCCATGAATATTTGTTGAGTGAATAAAGCCACTGGCAAGCAGAGAATCCTGGAGCTTACAGCCCCTCCCATTGGATGTGAGCAGGGACTCCCATTTTCGCACAGTCCTCTTACCCAATTCAAATAACACAAATGGCAAACATTCACTGACGGTTACTGTGCTCCAGTAAATAACCCAGCACTTAACCTGCATTAGCTCACTTAATCCTAACAATAAACCCCAAGAGGCAGGTATGACTACAGCTCTGTATTACAGCTGTGGAAACTGAGGCCTAAAGAAGTTAAACAGCTTCACACAGCCTATAGATGGTGGCACTGGCATCAAAACAAGGCTGCCTGGCTCCAGAGTCCACACACTCAGCCCTTTGCTCACTTGCTCTTGCAATGGTGGCCATGAACGTTACACTTTCTTTGCTCCTTCCCCAAGTAAATGTTGGGAGTGGTCAGGGGTAACCATGCTTCCTTCACAAAGATGAAACATGGAAGCCCAGCTAGAGGAAAGAAACGGTGAAGTCAGAGGCTTCACAGCTCATAGATTCATGAAGGGGAGGTGGGGAGGAAAGTGGGAAACAATTCATTTAATACCCAGGTGAGTACAGGTGAATGAGAGAAAGAGAGAAGGGGGAGAAGGATGAGTGGACACAGAGCCGAGCACTGGATGACAGAGAGCCATGGGTGGACAGACACAGGCCAAGCAATGTGACCAAAGTAGGTAAGGTTGGGAAAAAAGTGCTCAAATCACTGTTAGAAAAACCCGGACAACTCCCTGAGTAATAATAAAATATGAACAGACTGTAATCTGGTGGTTCTATAAATACACAAGGTGCAGGTGAGTCACCTGTGTAAGATGCCTTAATTACAGAGCAGGAGGCAGTGCCTACTTGCGTGTAAAAGAAGACCGCTTGCTTCCAGCAGTAGACATATGGACCTCAGGAGCGGAAATGCTGCCCGTGCTGCTCGAGGAGCTAAAATCAGCTTCACTACCTGAAAAACAACAGGGGAGAGAGAGAAGCATGAAGGAAAGGACACCCGAGAGAGCACGTTGGCCTGCTGAGGCCCCTGGCTCTCTGCGTCTGTACACTCTAACTCAGCAAGTGCCAACATTCCAGAGCTTCCAGGCTCTCAGCGTTTCCCTCAAAGCAAACAAGAGAAGAAGACACGAGTACAAGACATCATTTCATAATTACTGCCTAGAAGCACAGTGAGGCTGGTTTCATAAAGATGCCAGTCTTCCAGCAGACTACCAACACTGACCCAAGCTGTGCAAGAAATGCACACCTGTTCCCACATGTTAAGCTCCCACTCAGCAACAATGTAACAACGTGCCAGCCCAAACTTTAAGCAAAAGGAAAAGCATACTTATCAGTCCAAACGTAGTTTTTCCAAGAGAGTTTATCTTTGGGCTTTGCAGTCAGCTATTCAGTCACACTTAAATTTGGCATGTTAGGTCTGGAGGCAGTCAACCAGTTAGAAGCAGTCAGGAAGAAAGCCTGGGCTCTAGAAACTGCTGGAACCAGCACTATCTGATTACTGACTTTCTCTGACTGCAGCTTCAGCTTTTCTATAAAGAACNGCTGTGCAAGAAATGCACACCTGTTCCCACATGTTAAGCTCCCACTCAGCAACAATGTAACAACGTGCCAGCCCAAACTTTAAGCAAAAGGAAAAGCATACTTATGAGTCCAAACGTAGTTTTTCCAAGAGAGTTTATCTTTGGGCTTTGCAGTCAGCTATTCAGTCACACTTAAATTTGGCATGTTAGGTCTGGAGGCAGTCAACCAGTTAGAAGCAGTCAGGAAGAAAGCCTGGGCTCTAGAAACTGCTGGAACCAGCACTATCTGATTACTGACTTTCTCTGACTGCAGCTTCAGCTTTTCTATAAAGAACAGGTCCTTAATCAAAAGCAGGAATTTAACATTTCCAAACCCAATGGCAAAGATGGAAACTGTGAATTATACTCAAATTTGGAATTTTAGCTCTGGAGTGGGAGTGGGGTTGTTCATTAGTTTACAAAGTTCACATTACATTTTGAGTACAGACTAGAGTTGGGTTTGTAATTATAACAGAAACATGCTGTGTGGTAGAATAATTCATATAAATTCACTATAACAACAACATAGTTCTGAAATAGTGATAATGAAAATATTCCCATAGATTGTGGGGGGGGGGGCGTGGAAGAGGCAAGAGAGAATGACAAGAAGAAGAAAAATAGGAACTTCAAAAAAAAAGATGAAATTTCACATGCTTTGGGAAAATAGATCTAGGTGTACAATTTTATTTGACCTTATTATTTAACTCCTGCAACACAATTTATGACTCTTCTGGTCTAAAACCCAGAGCCAACTCATATTTCTGAGCTGAGGAAAATATGAATAATCTAAATCCTTGGGTTTTTAAGAAGCAGTGAACAATAATCATTATCATAATAACAACTATTTATTGAGTGCCTACTAGGTCCTGGGCCCTGTGCAAGATGCTTTCTATTCTTTATATCATTTAATCTTGGCAAGTTTATAAGGCAGACATTAATCTCACTGTTCTAGTATTGAGGAAACCAAAGCTTATCTGCTCAAGACTTGCACAGGATGCATCCCGTCCAGGACCAAATCCTCATGTTACTTCTACAATACCAGGCCTCGTCCTCAGGAAGGCAGTGGGAAAAAGCCAGGGAACAAGAGAGGTTCCTAAGTGAACTATACATTACCATCGCCCTAACAGGCCAAGAGGGGCCATAGGTACAAGATGCAGCCAGATTTTGGCCCACCAGTAAACAGATTCTTCTCTGATGAGTTTTATTAGTTTTGCTAGCGGGGAAGGTAGGTAACAGCAAGAGAGAGGGGAAGGTAGGTAACAGAAAGAGAGGAAAATCCCTTCTCTGGTATCCAGGACCTCTCAGGAAGTCCAACCTTTTCTGGGAAAGAGATCAAGAATGACCCCTTAGCTAGAAGACAGCGGTGACTCTCAGATCTCAGCAGAATTCTAGAAAGATTAGGGTGGCAATTTATCAAGACCGAGACCAGTTTTTTCTTCTGGATGGCAGAGACTTTGTCTAATGATGTTATGAGCTCCAAGAAGCAATCTGAGCTTAATTAGTTGCTGTTGAGCAATGCACTGGCTAAACTGTGGAATTTAACACAATCTCAAGGATTCATGATAGGCAGTGCTATCCAGTGACATGTAATTCCTGACAGCCTAATTCAACCAGCCTTGTGTGCTAGTAAATGATCAAGTTGGTTATTAAATAATAAAAGTGGGCAATTTTCAAAAATAGGTCCTGCAGTTGCAGTCACCAGGTTTAAGAGATTATTTCCTAATGTGATATTATTACTCTGAAACACCTAGCTTTCAGTCTTTAAAAGAAACACAAAAACACATCAATTATGATTTAACTGCCTGCATAAAAACAGAAATTCTAGAACAGGAACACACAATTGCTGAAAATCCATTGTCACCTCACAATGCCTTCGATCTGTGGTAATTATGTTCTCTGAACTAAAGGAACAACTTTGTTCTACTTTATTGCTACTGGAACTCAATATATTGACTCTTACGTGTTTGCAGGGCCTAAGGTCACTTTGTTCCAGTACTTTTCTGTCTAATCTTCTGCACATCTGAAAGAGATTAGGAGACACACTCAGGGGACCCTGAAGCTATATTCAGGACTATTTGAATGATACAATAGAGAAAGATTTATGTGCTACTTCACAACTATTTCAGTTTAAGATTTTAAAAAAACAAACTATTTCCAGTTTGTTTAATGTAGTGTAAAATCAATGAGCTCTTTTTAAGGGATACACAGGAGAGCTAATTTTAATACATCATCTGATATACTCTCCTCATTTACTAAGCAAAATAACTAAGGGAAAGACTGGAGACCTGACACCCCCCATTTACCTATTAGTTGGTAACAAAAATACAAGGAAGAAGTGGCACTCTTTATTCATTTCCTGTAAGCAGTGTATGCAACTATGGTATTGTTGCAGCTGCTGTAGCTCAATGCTCTTTTGGGTTACTGAAATCACACAAAGAGAGTACCTAATCTAAAAACAGAACCTGGGTCAGACACCCTGGATTCAAATCCCATCTCCACTGCTTACTAGATGGAGGACTTTAGGCAAGTTACTTTACCTCTCTGTGCCTCAGTTTCCTAATCTGTTAAATGAAGATGATCCTCATAGCACCTGCCTCATAGGGTAATTTTAAGCAATGAACATATTTATACATAGTTATATATGTATATATAAAGTGCTTAGAAAAGCACCTGACCTATCATAACCTGTCAACAAATGTTAGCTGTTATTACTGAAAGGGCGGAGGACCCGAGCTGATAAGGCGACAGGACCCGAGCTGACAGTTGGCCAGAGAAGTTCCACTTTATTCAAGGACTGCACGTATATTTATAGGGAGCTGTGTTCTGGGTTTGGATAGGGGGTGGACGGGCAGTAGCTGATTGGACGGGGCTGGACAGGAAGTGAGCCCTGACCTGTGACTGGTTGAGGTTTT